GGTTGGGGCATAGACTTGGACTACTGTGATGTTGAATGGTTTGCCTTGGATTTGAACTGAGATCATTCTGTCATTTTGGAGATTGTATCCCAGTACTGCTTTTCCTACTCTTTTATTGACTATGAAGGCTACTCCATTTCTTCTGAGGGATTCTTGCCCGCAGTAGTATACCTGATGGTCATCTGAATTAAATTCACCCATTCATGTCCATTTTAATTCACTGATTCCTAAGATGTCGATGTTCAGTCTTGTCATCTCTTGTTTGACTACGTCCAGCTTGCCTTGATTCGTAGATCTTACATTCCAGGTTCTTATGGAGCATAGATCTTTGCAGCATCGGGCTCTCCTTTGACCACCAGATACATCTTCAACTGAGTGTCCTTTCGGCTTTGACCCAGTTGCTTCATTCTTTCTGGCGCTACTAGTACTAGCCCTCCGCTCTTCCCCAGTAGCATATTGGACACCTTCCGACCTGAGGGGCTCATCTTCCTGTGTCATATCTTTTTCCCTTTGGGTACTGTCCATGGGGTTTTCATGGCAAAGATACTGGAGTGGGTTGCCATTTCCTTCTCCAGTGGATCACGTTTTGTCAGAGCTCTCTGCTATGACCTGTCCGTCTTGGGTGGCCCTGCACAGCATAGCTCATAGCTTCATTAAGCTACACAAGCCCCTTCGCCATGACAAGGCAAGTGATCCATGAAGGAGGCATCTTCCTTATAATAGCCTAAAATTATGCCCCTGTAAGTGACTATTGCCAATGGAGAATTGCAAATTATTTGCTGCCCTGGTTCTCTTTTCAGAAATGCTAATGCGATGGAGTGCAGGTTTCTGTTACTGAAGAGCTGAAGACAAATCAGAAGGTACAGCTCCTCTCGTCTGCTCAACGAAAAAGGAGCACCTTCTGAAATTCTTCCTTCAACATAACACTAAAAAGTTCGGGAGACATCTGCCTAGCTCTGTCACAGGTGCCACTCTTAGCCATTTTGGCTTAAACCCAAGAGTTTTTCTTCCTAGTTATGATAATTACTCCTCTTTGGAACCATTCTTGTCTGATTTTTATTTTTCCAGCAACAAATGTTTGCTACAGAGTTTACCACTTACAACCGACCAGAGCTAATGGCTGTTTAAGTTCTACTAAATGCTTGACGCTGATGTCCTGCAGATGTGTTGGACCACGCATCTTAATATATTTGCTGTTATAGCAGAGCTTCCACTAACACATTTGCAAACAACAGTTGGGGGAAGTCTGGCTTAGAGGGTTGTGTTCGCGGGGTGGGGTGGGGGGTCAGGGTTGCTGTAGCAGCAGCACAATAAAGCAAATTAAGTATTTGTTTAATTCTTTGAAGCTAGACAGAGCAGTTTCTAATGACAAAAATGTTACCTTTATAGGAGATCTTTTAGTTTGCTTTCTGAAATGTTGTACCTGCACTGTTTTTTTAAACAAATAACCTTGAGGGCTAGAAGCTCAAGGTGCTCCTGTTTTGCCTGCCCTAGCTCTGCCTTTCCACTGCCCAAGGTTCAGTTGCATACTTGTAGCATCAAGTGTGCAAACCTGGCAGGCCTATGAAAAAACATGCCTCCAGAGAGCTGTGCAAATTTCTGGCGTTTGAGGGCCCCAGTCAAGCCATCCCAGTGCCCCTCTCCCCATGAGTCTGTCTTCACACTGTGATTGTCACTCCTTTTGTTCTTCATCCTTTTTCTCATCCTTGTTACCACTTGCTAGCTTGACAGAAGGAGGCCCTGCATGGGAATGTCTGAGTTACAACAACCCATACTAACAAACCAACTGCCAAGTCTGTTTGGAAAGAAAATACAGTGGAACGAAAGAGAAGGAGAGAGGGAGGGCCTCCAAAGTACCACCATAGAGCCAGAGGAAGCAAAAGGGTAGATAAGTGTTAATTTATAAATAAATAAATAAATGTATAAATAAATAAATAAGTGGGCCTTGTCAGGGCGTCTTGATAGCAGCTGTGAAACAGGATAACCAGCTTCAGTAAGGAAAGACCCCTTTTGCCTTGAACCTCAGAAGTTTATTGAAAGGTCACTCAGGCCCCCTTGCAGTTACTCACGACAATATGCCACTGGCCAGTGCTCTTCACTGCCAGCTACAAGCTTTTAGAACATATACTGAATGTTTTATAGATTCTGAGTCACATGACATAGCAGCTGCTCAGGTGATGACAAAATAAGAATGTGAGGGATCGGCAGAGGAATGCAATAGACTTGATTACCCAAAGATGACATAACGATCACGGAGGTACTGGGATCACTGGGGGTCTTGGCATGTAAATGAAGGTGATTGCAATACTGCTAGAAAATACTGCCTGACCACCTTATCAGTTTTGATTGCTGTTAGCACAAGTATAGACAGGGGTTAACTTTCCTTGGGAGCCCCATTCTGCAAAGGCTTTTCCAACCAAAGGCAGTAGCCATCTCTTAAAGGAACAACTTAAAAATAACTCTAAACAGAAGCCTGCCTTGGAATTCTGGTGCTTTCTGAGAAAGAGGGGCAGAGATGCTGCAGGTTTGATTTTGTAACACAAAGGCATATATAAGCAACCTTTTTCTACCAGGGTTTATCTAATTTCCCCAACAGCCTGCAAAGGAGGCCTTCCTGCCCCACCCATCTGGAGAGAGAAAAGGCTGCAAAGAGGAGGCACTGGTGAGGTTGGACAGGAGCTGGAGATATGCACACTTTTTCCGCTTTCACGCGGGTCCTGCACCCCTGCCCTCCGCAAATGTCAAGGGCCAACTATACATGATCCAATTTACATACAAATTTGACTTCAAGACGAATTTTCTATTTTCTCAGGACTGGAACTCATTTGTAATGCAGGGACTGCCTGTATTTCACCCCCAACCAGCAGTCAAGCAGGTGTCTATTTACCAGGCAGATCTCTTTTCTGCTTATCCAGATTTATTTATTTATTTATTTAGGAGACTTCTATGCCGCCCCATTCGCCGAAGTCTCGGGGCAGCTCACATGCATAAATAAACTTCCATAGAATAATATAAATTAACAGTATAAATTAAGTCGACCTGGCCAAAGAATAAAATGAATAAATACTATTAACAATTAAAATGATATTTGAATAAAAAGGTCTTTGCCTGGCGCTGAAAAACAAATAACGACGGCGCCAGGCGAACCTCTCTGGGGAGGTCTTTAACACTTAGAGTTAATGTGCCACTGATACAGAAGTTTGTAGTTCTTAGTGTGTTAGCAAAAGTTCATTTGTAACTGGCAGCCGAATATGCATAGTCCCCAAAAGCCTCTGAAATGCCAAGCTTTGTATTTCAAAACACCGTAGTTATACATTTCAAAATTTAGAAAGGACCTTTTCCTCCTCTCCCCACTTCTTCAAACAAAGCCTGGTTTTGTATACATGGCTGGTTTGTTTGTCTTGATTCAAAATGGAATTTGTTGACATCCTAGGATTGTCTTCAGCTCCATCAAGGACTGCAGGGACACTTCCTGGCTGACTCACACATAAGTATATCCCAAAAAAAGGCTGCAAAATTTATTCCAACTGATACCTGGAGAAAGGCTTTCTTGTGGAGGTGACTTCATGCATAATGTTTAATTAAAACTGGAGCTGGCATCCACATTCAAGGCTTATACAAAGGAAAAAATGTACTCTTAAAATCATTACCTTCATGTTATCTAACCAGATTCTAAAAGCATTTTCTCACCCTTAACAATTAAAAAAATAAAATAAAATAGAAGAGCACCCAAGTTTGCAGGGAAGAGTCATTAGAGTTCCTCTGGTGTTCTTTTCAGAGTGGACATGTTTCAGAAAGAGAAATAAGGAAATGACAGAGCAAATGACTGAATACAAATATTGCCAAATAATATCACCCTCTGAGGTAAGCCATGTTCTTGTGCTGCCAGTCCATTCTACAATACACCCACCATAATTATCTTCCTCCATATACATGCCATCTTCACTTCTGAATGGTTCATTAAAGGGTGCTTACCAGGTGATGTTTGGTACTCACAGATCTCTTTAAAGCGTCTTATGTACTTCCACATGCAAACAGTACATGGCAGTGTACAGCTTCCAAGGTATGCCTATGACACATGTAGTTGCATCTAAAGGTTTCCTTTCTCCTACAGAAACAAGACTTTGTGTGATTTTTCTTGTCAGAAGCACCTAAGTCTCTTGCTAATTCACTAATTCTGCACTCAGACTGATTTTCTTTCCCTCTGAATAGGTGCCTTCTGCATTTTTGTAGACAATCGAATAGAAGCATTCTGCTGTTCTCTCCCATACTGCTCTCTCAAAAGATCTTTTCTTTTTTAATTCAGGAGATTTGGGTGTAAAACAGCAACAGATATGGATACTGAACTAATTACTCCCAGTGGGGTTTCTTGTCTTCTTTCCATTACTTCTGGCCTTCTCCTGGCCAGGTCTCATGATACAGCAAAGTGGATGCATTCTTCAACAGTGTGTAATTGCAGCTGAATGCTGACAGGGGACTGGATGTTGTGGAGAATGAAAATTTAGCGGATGGTTATTGTTATTAATAGTATTATATTTGGCTACAGCACCAGTATTACATCTACATGGGAGCACTGGGTTCTTAATTAGTGGATGGGCTATAGTTCAGTGTTGTAACATGCTTTTCTTAGCTGCCTCAGGGGTTATTTGTTTGCCCCTGCCCCCACTGCCCCGCCATTAACCTTGCAATTGGTAGATTATCTTTCCCTTGTGAGGGACACAGTGATGCATGCAAACTGAAAAATGAAGTTTTGAAGACATTTAAAGAACCATGAAACTCATGGACTTAAGTTGTTCCGCATGTGGTACACCAAAAGTGAGACAGACACACATACAGAAACATATGAAAGTAGGAAAAATTTCTGGGGGAAAGAGAGAGAGTCCAAAAACTGTAGAATAAAACTGGGTTTTATTTGCAGTGCCACTTTATATTATACATACAACATGAAAACATCAACAACAAAGACTTCACAATTATTTTCATTGATTTCCATGAAGCAGCATCAAGATAACAAAAGGATGAGAGTGTAGTCCAAGCCAGGATTCCTTCCAAGACGAAGATGCATGTGTTCCTGATGATAACTGAGAGATCAAAAATGCATGTAAGTGTCTCTGGAACACCTTGCATTTCCAGAACTCCCTAAGACATTTTTGTAATTAAACAGAATATCCTGATTCAGTTTTGGCTTGTGCAGACAAGATTCTCTCTACTTTCATATTATTGATGAAGGAAGTCCTTAAGCTTGTGTTAGGCCAGTTTTTCATCAAGGGAGAGGTGGAGAGAGAGGGATCCAAGGATTGAAAAATAGTCTGTGGCCACATGATTAAAGACAGTTCTAAACTGGTCAAATGGTTGAAAAAAGAAATGCTTGTGTTTGTCCGCATCTAACTAGAGTTGCAGTTCCATCTTTCCCTACAGCCCACAGCCATGTCAAAGATGAGGCAAAGCTGGCTTGATTAAAATAGATCAAAGCATTAGCTGAGTTTCTGTCTACACTGTGTCCTTGTCAAATGCAAGGAAATGTTTTTCTTAATCATGGGAAGATGGTAGTTTTGAGAAAGCTGAAAAGGGTATGATGCAGCTAGCATTATTCCTGATGCCATACTTATTCTCTTGTCCTGCTCTTCTCCCTGATCCAGTAGAATTTGCAAGTTTTTGAAGCATTATGAGAAACTGCAAATCAGTTAGACAAGAGTATATAGTAGGAAATGATCTGAACACCATGAACAAGAAATAGTTTTTTCCAACTATGTTCAGTTGCACACACATCTGTGTCCAAATCGTGAAAGGTCTGCACAACCAGGGAGCCACCAAGCCAAAAGCAGACAACAGTTATGTGCAGTGGAACACAAAGGGCTTGCCTGGGACAGCAAAAATGGGAGGGTGTAGGGTTTAAGAACACGGCACACTGGAATGCAGGCTGGGTTGAATTCAGTTTGTCTTGGTGGTTTTGTATGAATGCACATATGTAAGTATGGTGGGTTGTATGAGCATCAGGCAAGGGGTCCCATCCTGCCTAGACATCTGCCACCGCTACCATACATTATTTGTGCGTACATATGTGAATTAAGATATGCATACATTTGGTCTTAATTTTTGGCTGTGAAAATCAAACATTTACCAAGTTGGATACTATCCTGTTCAGTCTGAGAAGGGTTCGGGTTGAAGACCAGTGCTGCAATCTTACATGCAATTAGTTTGCTTAATACCATTGGCTTCAATGGGAGTTATCCAGCACAGCTGTGTAGCGTTGCAGCCCAGGTTACTCATGGGCTTTCATACATTTAAGTTAATTGTGTTTCATAACTGTGACTGTAAACCAGAAATTTTAGGTCCCCACAGAAATCAATGGGTGCCAATGTGTTTGTTCTTAGCTGAAGCTAATGCCAGAGGGCTTTATCAGTTAATACAAATGTCCCACTGCGGCTGGTAAATTCAACTAATGAGAAAAGCTAGCAAGGCTACCCTTCAGATATGTAAAGTTTTGCCTGCTTCTGAAGCTTTAAACCTCCTCATTTCTAGAGCAATGAATCACAAAACTGTTTTGCAGTGGAGTGCTTTGAAAATAACCCAGTTCTATTCATTGATCCTCTGTGAGATGCTAGGGAAGGTTAGTGAGTAAGAGATGCCTGGGCCAGATGCCTGAAGTTGCAAGATGAATGGCCAAAATACTTCTGTAAAGCAGAGCCAACGGGTGCAGTAGAACCTACATAAATCACTCCACCTAAGTTGGGCTGTGGAAGAGAACAAACAACAAAAACACAAGATAGTTGGTAAGTATTACAGGCACAGGAAGCCCATGTAAGTTTACATTGGTTATTAACATTCAACAGGTTGGATCAATTGACCCTAACATTTTCTTATTGATTTGCCCACTCAGGAACATTAGAGGAAGAGATTCACCATCTTGCATGGCCATAGGCATGCTCTCCTTTCCACATGGTATGACCTTTAAAGCTGGACACGCTTCTTAGTTGAGTTGAGCTAAAAGTCTTAATTAGGTACAATGCTTTACACATAGATGTCACTGGCTCCTTAGCATTCGAGCCTACTCACACTTATTTGAAGGAATTCCCATTATATTCTGTGGAATATTGTTCTGAGTAAACTGTATCTGATTACAGTATTTGTATGCTTCCCAAATGACTGGACAGCTTATGGCAGTAAAATAGTTAAAATACAGTAGCAAATAATATAACAGTTGGAAGCAGTATAAATGTTTAAACAGTTGCAAATAAAATACTATGCTAAGATACAATGTACAAGTAAAAATACATAGATCTAAAGCTCAGGGAAGGACAATTGTATAGGTTTAAAAAGCCTCAGAAATTAAAAAGATCTTCAACTGTTGCTGAAAAGAGTACAAAGGAGGGGCAAATGAGCCTCCTGTGCAGAGGAAATTCCAAAACTGGATGCCATCACTAAAAAAAGCATTTTCACAGTTGTGCCCATCCCATCTCATCTGGTCAGAGCACCGGAGAAGTGCCTCCAAAGATGAGCTCAAGGTCTGGGTAAGAGGAGGCGAATCTTTTCCCTCCCTACCAGCATCCTAGACTAGCCTCTTGAGACTTGGAGTTTCATGGCCTGAGAACTTAATAAAGGGGAGTGGAGCAGCACATGCTGTGGTGATGCTGCAAGGTGAACATAACTGAGTGTAACTGCCATCCTCTTGTAAACTGACGTTTGCAAAAAGGCCCCTGGGTGGTGGCCTCAGTTTGAGGAGCAGGAAAAGCAGGATTATTGCCTTCAGTTTGTATAAAAAGATTGATATTAAGTCCATATGGAATGGACTACCAACCCTCTTTCTGTCTGCATGACCCCTCCTCTTCATAGGCATACTCTCACCCTAGGATCCAGCTGTTGGTCAAGACAGAATATGGTACCCGATGTAGAACACATTGCTGTCATCTAACCAGAATACTGAAGCCAAGTTGTCTCTCTCCAGATAGTGGCATAGTGAGCCACCAACTGAATCTGATAAAAGACACTCTGTAGCACAAAAGCCACTTAAAGTTCAAAGGACATAGATGGCTCCAGGAGAACTCTCAAGCTAAGAAGTTGCTCTTTCTGTGGGAGTGCAGCCCCATCCAGAGCTGGCTAAGCACCTTCCATCAAGTTCAAAGAGTCACCCTCTAACAGTATCACAGTCATGTCTGGATTGAGCTTCAGTTTTGTTTGTTTAGCTGTCATCAAATTACAGCCATAGTACATGCACACCACAACTGATGAAGACCAAAAGGAGAAACAGAGGTATGGGGCATCAGTATACCCTGCGGCAACACACTCCAAAATTTTGGAGGACCCCATTCAGATGGTTTCATGTACATGTTCAATAATGGGGGACAGAACAGACACTTGAGAACTACATGCTGGAGAGTCCTTGCGGTCAGCTGGTATTCTCCAAACACCACCTTCTGAAATTAGCCATCCCCAATTGGGGGAGGAACCACTGTAATAAAGCGGACTGCCAGCTCAGTAGGATACTGTGGGCGACAGTATATTGAAAGCCATAAAGAGATCAAGGGAACTCAACAGGGCTATACTTCCCTTATCCCTCTCCCAACAGTGGTTTCTGGGCTAAAATTCCACTTGAACCCTAACTGAAACAAGCCCAGAGCAATAGTCTCATCCAAAAGCATCCGGAACAGGCTTTTTGTTTGACATACACTTGAACTGCAGGTGCTGTAGGCCAGCTTTGCCAACATGCACAGGGGAAGACACAAAGAAACACAGGGAACAAGTGGATTTTTTCCCCCTGATACTTTATAATATTTCTCTTAGGATGAGAGATGAACTCCTGATTAAGCAGTGGCTCAGAAGGGGAGATTATCAGGCCAGAATTAGAAGGGAAAAACACATTCCCGTGTTTCGAACGAATGTTATCTATATGGTTACACCTGAACCACAGGGCCCAGCATTCTCTGACATGGACTATAATTGACTAAGAACTCATCTAAGTAATTTTACCTGTTTCAATTTTAAAATAGCCAACTCAGATATATTTCTAGATCTTAATTAAATATTGCATCTTGAATGCTTGTATGCAGGAATAAAATGATTATCAATCTGTTTCCCAGTGTCTTCCCATAGCTATGGTTAGCAATAGGGTTTTTTTAAAGGTATTCCTAGCTAGATGTGTTGCCACTTGATATCTAATCAGGTCTCTATGACCATCTATTTGAACTAGAACATGTTTAGTAAGCAAAAAGTGAATATATATATAAAATTAGACCAACAGCAAGCCAATGGAAATGGGGAGCAAAGTTTTATGGCCGTTCTATTCCCATCCACATGGCTAGTTCCAAAGAACAGCATCTGGGAACTGCATCTCACCTGCTGCCCCTCAACACGACATCTTGCCTCCAATGCTCTTTAATCACAAATTGGCACAATGCAACAAACCATTGTACGATCTTAGCACAATGGGTTGTTATGCCAGAATAATTCATGAAGGTTGGCTTCTTTGAAGGCAATGAGTCACCCTGACAACCCATGCATTGTTCTAGGTATGGTATCCATGATGGGTTGTCATGTTATGTAAACCCAGGGGACCAACTGGGCATTGGCTGCCAAGCGTGCCTGCATACCTGCCAGTGCCAGCTATGCTAGGTGCCCAAGCATCACTTGAGGGCAGCTGGCATGGGCTTGCTGCCACCTGCAGTAAATGTGATCCCTTTTTGCCTCACCATCATTTTTCTATCTGTACCCTTTTTATTTTTATTTATTTAAAAGATTTTTACCCCGTCCTTTGCACAAGCCTCAGAATGGCTTTTTCCCCTCGGAGCTTGACAACCACCTTTTATAATCCCCATTTCAACAGACACTGAGAGCCCATTCAAAAAGTTTACCAACCACCAGCAGCCAGAGCAACACTTTGAAAGGGCTGTCAGCGGTTGTTCAACTTTTTGCATGTGTGCGCGTGCACAAGGTATGCAAAACCTTGATTTATTCATTTTAAATATGTTAATTGAACTTGTGCAACTGTGGAAAGCAGGACCTTCTGTTCGGTACTGTCAAGGGTGAGGAATACTATCAGAGTGCAGCAGATACGAACCACTGAACCAAAGAGAATCCAAGCAGGTTTTTTCTCCCCTTTGCTTTCTTTTGAGAACTGTCAAAAGGTGAACTGTCAAGGGAAAGCAAAGCTGTAAGTGATCTGGGCTTGCAAAAAGGGTGAATTGACACTCCTTTCACAGCAAGATCTTTCAATCTTCAGAGTGTTGCATTTGTTGCACATCTCCCTGAGATCCCATCTGTGCAGGGAAGTGCATCTACCTGCTTTGGATGAAAAGGGGATTTTTACACCTAGCTGTCCAAATTCTGAGTTTCCTTAAAAAGGTTTGTCAGAGCACTTTTAAAAACTGGAGCATACGCAGATAGCTGTTAAAACTGCTATTCCCCAGAAAAGTAGAGGGGGGATGCACTTTTACACTTTCCGAAGCAGTTTGAGTCCTGTGAAAAACTGCAAAACAGTTGTGGCAGTGGGGGTGGGGGGCAGAGGAGATGAAGAACTTGCTGCAAAGCCCACCATACCCATTTTCATAGAATAGTAGAGATGGAAGGGGCCGGAAGGCCATTGGGTCCAACCCCCTGCTCAGTGCTGGACCCCACATTAAAACATCCCTCTCATATGGCTGGCCAGTTGCATCTTGAATGCTTCTAGTTTGGGAGAGACCACAATCTCCTTAGGTAATCAGTTCCATTACCATAATACACTAACAGTCAGGAATTTTTTCCTGATACCCAGTGAGAATCTGGCTTCCTGTAACTTAAGCCTGCTGTTCCATGTCCTGCAGTCTGAGTTGATTGAGAAGAAATTCTCTCCTTCCTCTCTGTGACAGCCTTTTAAGTACATGTGGAGTGTTGCCATCTCTTTCCTCTCAAGGCTAAACATGCCCAGTTCTCTCAATCTCTCCTCATAGGCCTTGGTTTCCAGTCCCTGGATCATCCTTGTTGCCCTCCTCTGAACCCCTTCCAGCTTGTCTACATCTTTCTTAAACTATGGTGCCCTGAAATGGACACAGTACTCCAGATGAGGCCTAACCAGTGCTGAGTAGAGGGGAACTAGTATTTCATGACATTTGGAAGGGATTCTTCTATTAATACAGCCTAAAATAACATTTGCCTTTTTTCCAGCCACATCACTGTTGACTCATTTTCAGCTTGTGATATACAACAATTCCAAGATTCTTCTCACTTGCAGTATTTTTGAGCCAAGTATTCCCCATCTTGTAACAATGCATTTCCTTTCTTTTCCTTAGGTGCACAACTTAGGATTTGTCCCTACTGAATTTCATTCTGTTGGGTTCGTCCCAGTATTCCAATCTATCAATATCACCTTGAATCTTTTCTCTGTCTTCCAGGGTATTAGGTACCCCACCCAGTTTTGTGTCATGTGCAAATTTGATTTAATCGTTCCTTGCACTTCCTCATCCAAATCTTTAATAAAAATATTGAAGAGCACTGGGCCCAGGACTGAACCCAGTGGTACCCCATTTGCCATCTCTCCCAGGTTGGAGAAGGTGCCACTGATAAACATTCTTTGTGTCCGATTCTGTAGCCAACTGTGGATCCACCTGATAGTGGTTCTATCTATACCACTTTTTGCTAGTTTGCTAATCAGGATATCATGGGCCACTTTGTCAAAACCTTTGCTAAAGTCAAGATAGATTATGTCCACAGAATTCCCACAGTCAAAGCAAGGATAGTACAGTATGATCATTAAAAGTTAATA